AACCCAATCCCGAAAAAATATGATATATATGATCGGAATATAGTCTGAAAACCACGACAATTTTTCCCCAAAAAATTGGTATGTAACATTTTTTTTAACCCGAAATTCCTCACACTTTAGCAATACCATTTACACCCAATATAGACCACGACAAGAAACTTGGGGATCGTTTGCAAACAAACTCAAGAAAGAAAGAAACTGAGTTAATAGAGACAAGTTATACAACAAAAGGCAATCTCTAGAACATACTTTCATGTGTTGCAATTTTTGATTAAAAATAGAATATATATACTAGAATTGTTACAACACTTGTGGACAATACACAACTCTTCAATGCACAACAAATTCGGTGAAAAAAATTTCAGATTTTTTTCTTATAGAGTTTTTAAACAAGAGATTCTCCTTCTTCAGGGATTAAAAGAGTTGGAATTTGACCTTTGTCAACGAAGTCAATCTTGCTCAATCTTAGACAACATAAGACTTTTTCGGGTAATTCTTCTTGTTTTTGAGCCTATTAACCAAAACAAGTTTTTTAGTTATCTTCATTCTTCAACAACAAATAGTGTATACTAAAAGATTTTAACAAAGACATTACCTGGATAGTTAAGCCGAGATCAAGAGTTCCATCTTTAAGTCGGTCTCTAAACGCTTCGAGTCCTTTTCTTGAAATGTAGCTAAACCGATGAACGTCCAAATCAATCTCAAAGTAGTTAGGACCCTGGATAGATAGATAGAGATCAGCCCCCCAAACCGGTTAGATTAGGCAACAAAATGGTATTTATCGGTTAGAAAAAGGCGAGGTTAAATAAAAACCTTGAAGAAGTTGTGTTGAGGACGTGAAAGGACGGGCTTTTCATTGTAAGCTTGTATAAGCTTCTTTTCAGTTGAGCTAAGACTAAGATCCTCTGGGTTAACTAACCCGGCTATGATTTTAAGCCTTTCACGGAACGCAACAGTATTATCTTTTGCAAACCCTTTAACTTTCTCCATCTCATCTTCCACCAGTTTCTGCAACAGAACGTAAAAATCAATGCGAGCATTCACAAGAAAGTCAGAAATGAATGGTCTTTGAGGTCTATAATGGTTAACCTTGATGCTGTCTTGGTATTGTTGAGAGATTTCTTGTTCAAAATTGTCTCGTAATTTAAAGTAAAGTACAATGCTCATGCCTTCTCCATTACTATCGCCGAGAAACATTGCGGCTGGATAAGTTGGCAGCTGTTTAAAGCCAAGATTCATTAGAGTCTTGAAACAGATCTTGAATCGGTTTAATCACGTCTAAAGGAACTGATTATGGTTTTTACCTGAATGTTGACAATCAGAAGAGCAGGGAGCTTTGCCTCGGCTTTAATGTTGGGAAGCTCAATGTGTTGGGCTATATGATCAATCTTCCTTGGACACACAAACAAATCAACACCAATTGGAGTGTATGGACATTGGTCTGGAGCCGGGGATTTCCGTTTATCTCTGCAAATTCATCATTGTTTCAACAGTTTGCTACAACATGGAACCATTTAAAACAAAGATATGTATAAAGAAATAGATAACTACCTGAAATATGTTTCGCCACGTAGTTTAAAGTTTGATGGTGGTATCTCACACCAACTTCCTGAGGATTGCTGCTTCTCTTTGGCGAAACAAGGAATGGTGAGTCCCGCTTTTGGACAGTACAATAATCTCTTGGACGACCCTTTTTATATAAAATATTGATACATGTTATAATTACGGGCTCACACATGATGCATACATACTTGCAAGGCTTATTGATCACTTGAAAACTTACTATGTTCGGTAACTTCTTCACCATCACATGATCTCCTCTTGAATGAAAGCCGGTAAACCGCAGACTTTCGTTTCTGAGATGTGGGTGAGTTTAAAGTCTTGTCGTTGAAACTAACCGTTGGCAACAACCGGCTCAAATTGGATTTCAATGTTTTCTCTTGAGAGTTGCTTTTTTGTTCCTTCAAACCATTAAAGCTTCCATAAGTATGGTCCAATAGTTTCTGCTTGCACATAAACTTTTCGGTTTTACTACCACCATCAATCTTCAAGTAACTTTCACGGTATTCTTCGTAATTTCCCTTCCCATCAACAATACATGAAGATGTCTCAAACTGAACCACTTGACCATCTGACCAAACATTATCAGCTGATAGATATGGGAAACAAAATTAAGATTCTATCAATTCTCAATAACCAAAAGGAAAAAAAATAATATATCAAATGTAGATTGACATTTACCTTCATGTAAGCTGACAAAGTCATCATCTGAGTCAGAGAAAATACTTAAAGAATCAAACCATGCATCATTTTGAGAAATATCTGCGACAAAAAAAAACCGAAAATCCAACATTAGTTACCTAATATTTCCTGTATAAACAAGAAATCAATTTCACAACTCTCTCCCTAGTGATACTCACCAAAAGAGGTTCGGGTCCCAACATCACTTGCTCGTCTAATATTTTGATGAGGGATTATATCAGACACTTTAGAAAAGTGTTTGGAGAATCTGCGACGGCCTTTCCTTCGTGGCCTAACTCTTCTTGCATGTGTTGACATACAAGTACCCATTTTATCACAGGTTTTTATTTAGATCCTGCCAAAGACAAAAATACACATCAGTTTTCTAAACGAAACAGAACACACGTACACGATACGCCAATGTTTTCAAACATACAAATGAGGTTTTCTCAAGAGATCGATAGTAAGTTAGGAAACAAGATTTGAACAAGCTTGTAACATAATCATCTCTAGAGGTACTAAGACGTGACTTTGTAGTTTACTTTTACATTGGATCAAGTCGTTGTCTGACTTTGTCTTCAACAGGTATATACAGCCTAAATCATCAAATACAAGATACTTACCAATAATATATATTTCAGCCGTCTGCGAAAAACAATAGAAAACTAGTTTAAAAGACAAAGTGGGACACAAGAAGATTTAGCAACAAATCTTCAAAGACTAAGACATGTATAAGGCAGTCAAAATCTACAAGTGGAAAACATTGTAGAGCACAATAAACATCAACGAACAATATAAAATTTATGTCATAATTACTTAATTACATTAAACCAAATTGTTTGTTCAAAAGGGGCCAAACATCAAAATAAATCGAATAAATCGTGTAACAGTTTTCAGAATAATAATAAATGCGATTAAAAAAAAAAAGCCCAAACATCATTAAACAAACAGAACTAAAACACTTTTTTATGCACTAAACCAAACCTTAATGATAGAAAAGCTCATAAGAGTTTCATGGCCTCCAAAACTTGGTTTTGCTTAAGAATTTAAAGAAATTTTTTTTTTTTTTGGTTATGGAAATAAATTTTTATGTATCCAGAATTTGCATTGATAGAGACATTACTGATTGTGAATCAGGTTCATGTAATAACAATTTTTTCTCATAAAAGTTAAAAAAAAGACAAATATGGAAAGAATGTCAACATCACTTAACAAAAAGGTGAAACTAAGATTACAGAAAAAGGGAAAAGATTTTTTTTTTTTTTAAACAAAATCGTTTATATATGAGTCTTGAATCTAAAGATTCAATGAACATTACACAACACATGGCACATGCAATGCATAGATATCCAATAGAGGAAAATTATAAATCTTTGAGGAAACAGAAAGATACAAAGATCATGCAATGAGTTTGTCCCACAAGATACAGAGTGCAAACGATGAATATCGAAGATTATGAGAAGAAAAAAATCTTGTTTAATTTTGGGTTAAAAGTTTACCTGAAAGAGGGAACTTTCCAATTTTGGTGGTGTTGAAGGATGAAAATCAG